GGGGGGCAGGACGTAACCGGAGGAGAGAGGTAGGTGCGGGGGGAGGGGTGGACAGACAGGCTGCACACATTGTACACGTGATCGCGGCGACATCGCCGCGGTCGCTTGTAAACGAAAAAACCGACGCTTGACTAAAAAACAATTGATTGTTCCAGCGCTACATAGAACACTCCACCCAGCTCCTCTACTAACGCATTTCACCTCCTTAAGCCCCAGTAGGCTTTATAGATGTCTCCAACACAGGGGGTCCCCGTAGGGAGGTTTACCCTCAGCTCCAGTTCTGGTGACAACTGTAACATTTTAGACTTTCCCCCGCTCTCCGTCTTGGTGACAGCAGTCACCAGGACAGAAAACGAGTGAATGGCCCCTCCTTTGCTGCGGTCGCATTAGATGCACCTTGACGCAGTTTTCAAGCTTATGATGGATCGGATGAAGTTTATCAAACACGCAGCAGCCGCGACTTTTCTCAGCTGCGCATCGATTGACGCATTGGTCCGATCGCGTCCAGCTGAAGACAGCGGAGTGCGCGCGCTATTGCTGCGCCAGAGCGGGCAGCAAAACGCATGAAATCTGCGGCCAGCGAGCGCTCAGCGCGAATTCTCTGACCGGAGAGCTCCTTTCAGGCTCTGCGCCGCTCTCTGCCAATACCTGGGCGACGCCTCTACAAATTGCGCGGCCTTTATCGCGCCCCATAAAGCGGAAAGGCACATTCTGGCGAGACCCCCGGCGTATGACGTCTTCCTAATGGGAATCACACGAGGGACCTGGACGCGTGATGTACCCGGCCGCGATGAAAGTCCTCCGGCGGGCTGCCGCGGGGTTTTTTATGACCGAAATAATAAAACGTTTTCACGATTCGTCGCGCAGCGCTCAACAACGCGTTCAATATTTGGTTGCCGGGCAGCCTGGAATGCCAGGACGAGCGCTCCAGGTTCGGAGAGGCGGAATAGCCGCGGCGGATTAACGGCTTTCACAGCTGATTAAACAATTCCCGGCGATTTCTATTTCCCGCTCGCGGCATTTCGGGGAAGACGAGTGTGTGAGAGGTGACGACGGCTCTCCAGAACGATCCATTGATGGTTGTTCCAGAGGAAGGGGAGGGGGGGGCGTAGTCTCCGGAGCGGCTTCGGAATTTCAAACTAGATGGCTAAATAAAATTAAAAAAAAGAACGCATTTCTCATGTTTTCTCTACCTAAAAACGCTGCAAGCGCAGGACAATACCTGCCAGAAATCCAGGGAGCTCATCACTTCCTGTACCGAGCTGACAACGCTGCCTCTGCTGCACTGAAATCCCAAGCAGTGTTGTCAGCCCCGCCCAGTTCACTTTTCAGAGCTACTGAAACACCTCCCCCTTATGGTGTAGAGATGAGGAAAGCGGAGGAGTTCTGTAGACCAGCAGGGTTGACAACACACTCAGCAAAGCATTGTCAGTACACTACAGGAAGTTAGGGGCGCACTGGATTTCTGGCAGATCAACAGGTATTTTTCTGCACCAGTAACAAATCGCCTGGTCTTGCCGCCCCCCATTGCCATCTGTGTGAATGAGGCCTTAAAGAGACTCCTTGTGCAGGGTGACTGGTCTTGTCTCCGCCCCTTCCTATAATAAAGACCGCTCACTGCTGCCCTCTCTCCCTGTGTAGGATGACCGGCCTTGTCTCCGCCCCTTCCTATAATAAAGACCGCTCACTGCTGCTCTCTCTCCTTGTGCAGGGTGACTGGCCTTGTCTCCGCCCCTTCCTGTAATAAAGACCGGTCACTGCTGCCCTCTCTCCCTGTGTAGGATGACCGGCCTTGTCTCCGCCCCCTCCT